AATAATATAATATTATACGTAAATAAAAAAAATAAAAATTTACCACACATTTTTTAAAATATTACTATTCAATAATAAATTTTTTCCACGAATGCAATTTTAATGGAGCACAAAAAAAGGCTTAAATTTCTTATTTATGACGTGAAGGTAAAGTCCATGAAACTTGGGTCTAAATAATCTTATTTTTAGCGTGTCTTCAAATTTCGGATATATAATTAATTTTCATAATTGGAGTGGAACAATTGATAACTTCACCGTGGAGGGAAGCAAATCGTCTGGGACTGGCACACGGCACGCAAACGTGGTTCTCCTCGTGAGAGGACACGTGTTGGTTGCATCTAATTTTAGCGCTTACTAATTGTTTGGGACAAGTAAGTGAGTACTGAGGAAGACAACCTAGTGGTAGAATTTATTTATGTGAAGACAATCCAGGTTGAGCGATTCCTGCCACGTGGCCACCTTTGTGTGTAAGAAAAGGTTCGGCCTTTTGCCAAATTTCATCACGTGTAGTGTGACTTTATTGTATTATCATTGTGACATAATGAATAATGTTATCGACATGCTAACAACCAATGACGTTATTGATTTAACTCAATTTATTTCTAGGGAGCTCTACAAACAAATGACTCCCACCTGCATCCATGGTCAAAATCAACAAGAATTTTCAATTCTATGGGTTTAATTCAAATGTTTGACTATTTTAATTTTGAGATAAGTTTATGGTAGCCAAATAATTACGGGTAATGTTGGGTGTACAGACGGAACTTCTACTAACACTCACAACAATGAATTCCATACGGGATCCACTTGTATAAAAAACTACAACAATCCCACCGACCAAACCATCCACCTCGACGTTGTGAGTGTTTGGTACGAGTTTTGAACCCGTACCTGTACATGAAGCACAACCCGATAGTTACTTGGTGGCTATCCTCTTAAGTTAACTTGTAAAAAATGGTAACTTCCAACTGTTTTATTTTTTATTTTGACTGTTTCAATTTTATTTTATTTTTAATACAGAAACAAATAGGTGTTTAAAACTTGACTTCCTCTTTTTAATAGGAAAACAAATTCCATATATCCTTTCACAATGTGTATCATGGGGTTTGTTATTTATTTTCAGATATTCTGTGATGGCAATGAGGTTTAACGTATCAATCAGCCAGTTTCCTCTCCAAGGCATGAAGTTGTCGTAGCATTTTAACTAAGTAAAGTAGAGATGTAAAAGACAGATTTACAGAACTGCTCACAGTCTTTCATTGAAATATATCCAAGTACAAGCAGTAAAGTATCAACACATTTTTGTTGCTTCGACATTTGGTTTTATACAAGAAAAAGATGCATTTAACACCCATAACTCAGGGGGAGACCCAGACGACTTGGGTTAGGGGGTCAAAAATAAAATTTATAGGGTATTTTCTAAATATAAAAAAAATAGCTAAACAAAATATTTTTCCCCCAAAATCTAGAAGGTCAATTGACCCTATAATCGCCCCTTCAATTCCGCCCCTGCCATAACTGCTTGGGTCTACTAAAAATCAACTAACTAAAGCCAATCGACCACAATGTCTACTACTTTTGCTCACTAGAGAAGCCCGTGTTGAGAATTTACCTAATTATGTATAGCAAAAAATAAAATAATTTTTAATTCTCACTACGGATTTGCTTAACTGTGATAGAACGTTATACATTTAATGAATTTTTTCTACAAACTTCTTTGCTTAACTTGAATACAGACAATCACGATCTGTAATTTACAACTGTTCAATTGTCTAGCCTCTACTAAAAATTCACATAGGGAACTAGATTGAGAGTAATAAGGTTTTTTTTTTTCTTGTGCTAACAAGAATATTTATGTTCTCTACTAATTTTTCAAACCCTAGCAACTTATTAATATAATCCAAGTGGATTTAGCCCGTCTCTTAACTTAGTTAGGTTCAATATAAATTCTTTCGTCAATATGATCCGATTAATATGAAATATGGATATGTACTCATTTTCAATTTATAAGTACACTTTGGCCAATGATTTTATTATCAATTTAATTAAATGAAATGTAAATCATAATCTTTTACTATCTAAGAGTGACAAATCATCTATTATTTACAACCTTTATATGATTCTTGACATACTCGAATGATGTCGTATTAGCAGCTATTGGTAGAGCAACATTCAACATCACCAAATTATGACTATATTCATATAAGGCATTATAAGTCAAAGGGCAAATTTTATTATCAAATGTTAGAAATTAACCATTGATACTTAGATGGTTATCCGTGTAAAATCTCCCAAGCGAGTCTCCAAGTTATTCATGTGTTCATTTAAGTGTTAATACACTTTAGCATGTGAGTCAACTACTTACTCTCAAATAAAAAATACCACACGTGATGGTCTATCCGTAATAACAATATTCATATCTCATTATTACTTAAGACTACAAATGATTAAAAATTCAAACATATTGTAATTTGTATCTTATAATTACAACTTCTTCAAATCATTGAAATATAAATCTACGGACTCTATTATTTAATATAATATATTATAATAGTAATTCAAATAAATAATAGATATTGCCAAAATAAATACATTAAACATATTAAAAGTGTTTACAACCTAAATCGATTAAATATATACTTACAACCTGCACATAACTACTGGACAATTATTACCCTTGCACAATCTACACGTAAGAAACAACTCACTACGTCGCTAACTTTGGCCAGCTATCGCCAGTGCTTATTTAATTTATATCCTTGCATCCCTGATGTCGACTATAGCAGGATTTACACTAGGTACACTGCGACTGTAGCAAGATTGATAAATTATATTCTAAATCCATTCATTCGGCACCTAGTCATCGGTATGGTACTTTTCATTTCTTGTGTGCAAGGTAAACCGACAAATGATGACCAATACAAACTTAGGTATGTAAATTGTCGCTCATCACTCGTCTTCTCTTATCACTCAAGTAATGCTACGATCAAGTAATACAACACTGCATACCTCCATTTCCCGCAATAATTAAATTCTACGATAATTGGTTATTAGTCTCAAAAGTTCACTTTAATTTATTATTTTTTTAATTATATAGTTAAAAAGTATATAAAATTTTTTAAATCTACATGTAAAATTATTTTATTAAAAGAATATTCGATTCAAATATAAGTTCAAAGAAAAAAGAGTTTTGGAGAATGGGGCAGCGCTTAATCCCATCAATAACCACTAAAAACTGCCAACTATCCTTGCATACCAATCGCGATGCCATTTGTGTCAATTTTACTTTCCCAAAATGGGAGCAGCCTCCAGCCTTGGTCGTTTTGCAAATAATTCCATCTCTAGCATAATTCCCAATTACCCAAACTAGGGCTGAACAATGAAATCGCCCAATCGAACCGAACCAAAATCGTTTTTCTAAAATCATTGGTTTGGTCTTATGTGGATCCGTCAACGTTTTGATTTTGAATCGAACCAAACCGCTCGGTTTGGTTTAGGTTTCAATTTTTGCAAATCATTTCAAACCGCCAAACTGTTTACCAAAAAAAAAAAAAATCTAAAAAAAAATTATTCTAAATTTTATTTAAACCAATTAAAACTTAACACATTTCAATTAAAAAGATGTATCTATATTAGACATAATTCAATTAAACTCAATTCGACAATTATACATCTCAATTAATTAATTAATTAATTAATCATATCCAAATATTTATGAATCATCACAACTATAAATATAAAACCCTCAAATTAGATAAAGTGTCAACAACTACTGCTAAACTACATTCATCGATTCTCTATTACAATTAAGTAGACAATAAAATCTAGGTTTTAATTCAAACGTGCACATTTCATTTCCTTCTAATAATTTTTTTTTTCAAATTTTGCTCAAATTCAAATCAGATTACCAAATTTTATTTTATTTTTTTGTAATTATTTTTATATTTTTATTGATAGTTATGTTGTTTTGATCTAATAATTGTCGATCCCCCTTAAAGTAATTCGCCAACATTTAGATGGAGTAGAAGCTTTGAATCATTCACAAAAAGTCATAGTAGTCAGGTACTATTGTATTTGAAATTTTTATTCATTTTCTTTAATAATTATTTTATATCATTTAACTATAATCAATGAATTCATGCACTATATTTTTATATTTATGAGGAAAATGAATCATGTATTATTTTTGCATATCATGTTGTTGCATTATAATGATTATAATTAAATAACATTGATTTGTAATTTTTTTAATAGTATAATTTATATTTTAACATGAAACTTTAGACTAATATTTATAATTTAACTTATTTAATATATATTATTTTTCTTTGTTAAACCGAACCAAATGAAAAAAAATTTGTTTGGATTGGTTTGGTTTGGCTTGGCTTGGCTTGACTTGAAATAAATTTCTAATCAATTTAAATGATTTGATTTGAAAATTTGTCACAAACCGTCCAAATCCAAACAAACCGAACTCAAAACGGAAAATAAATGAAAAAGTAACACATTAACACAAATCTTATGCAATCAAATTTTATTATTTTCACTGCATTTTCCAAATTTTCTCCCAAATCTGAAAAACCCTATAAATAAATTTCCCCGAAATTAGACGATTGTGAATTTCCTCCTACGAATCTCCGATCTCAAATTCGTAGTTACAACAGCCGGTTAATGCGATGGTCGTCTGTAAATGCCGCAAGGTATTATATTTCCATGTGCAAATGTTATACAGAGCTATGTATATGTAAATTCTGGATCACTAATTGTATTTCTTAATTTTAGTTATTCGTGCCAGTGCGTACGACTGTATGCATTGGATAATTTTAGATCAGATCGAGCTTGCAATTATTAAATATCAGGTTATATGGAGTTCAATTTAATTTATGTCTTCAACAGTGATATATACGTTACAGTTAGCTGATTGTGTTTACTCGTGAGCGCGGATTCATTTTAGTCGATTATTAATGGTCTGATATATTATTATTTATATAAAAATGAAGATAGGTTTGCAGAATGGAATTGTTGTTTTAGACGGTGATTCTGGTTTACTATCCTTATCTTTGATGGAATTTCATATGTTCTATATCAAACTGGATCAACAAAAGGATTTTATTATGTAGACGACTTAGGTATTTAGAGTAATGATTAATTTTCTGTATAAAATGAAAGCTAATGAATGTCACATGGTTCTGGGTTTCAGGCCACTAAACTATATTGTTTCGTGCACAAGGTCCCCATTTGCGGGGAATGCATATGCTTTCCAGAGCACCAGTTATGTGTGGTATGGTTAATTATAATGTACACACCTTTGACAAACAACTACCTATACTGCATAACGAGCACCAATTTAAGTGTATAGATATATTCTCCCATTTTAGATACGTACATACTCGGAATGGGTGATTGATGGAGAGTATGATTGGCCACCTAAATGCTGCCATTGTCAAGCTGTGCTTGATGGGACGGACCCTCAAACGACTCGACTGGGTTGCTTGCGTATGTATTCCTGTTCGTGCATCTTTAATATATTGTTGTAAAGATTTCATGTCAACCATTATGCAATTTGACATGATTTCTTTGTATAGACGTTATACATACGAGTTGCCTGGTTTCACATATAAAAAGTTTTCCCCCACATACTGCTCCTGCTGGATATGTATGTCCAGAGTGTTCAACTTCGGTATGTTCTACTTCCAAAAAGTTATGTTATTTCCAATTCTTTTGGCTTCACTTCTTTTGTTTAACATCTTCATATGAATGGTCTATGCCAATGACATCTGGCAGATTGGATTGATATTAAGTTTCTATCTTAAGGATATAAAAGAAGTAATGGCGAATTTAACACATGCTCAATAGCGAAAACAAACTAATGTGAAATTGGCAACACTTTACGGTAAAATGAAGTTGTTGTACATTGAAGTGGTTGATCATGCATAAGATTTTAGCTATAACAAGAGCAGCAATAACTAATCATTAAATGTAGAGTTTTAAATGGAGTTCTTTTTATTATTGATTACGGAATGGTAAAAGTGTCAAGAGGTTTCATAGGCAAGTGATTGTTGGTTTCTATAAATCATGAAGTGTTGATAGGTATAGGTGCAGGAATGCCTCTGCAGTACACAATCCAGAAATATAGTCGTCGTATTTGGAGATACACAAATCTTCAAGATTAGGCGTGATTTCTGTGAATAAAATTTCTGTTATTGTGACTCTTCTTGATATTCCTTGTTATAAGTGAATTTGCTAGACTCTTCTCTAAAATAAATTCGATGGCTCAAATGACTGATGAAGTAGGTTTATTGTTTTGGGAAGTCTTGAGATTGATTTCAATAAAATATACATTCTTTTCCTTTCCACTCACCTAAACATACGTAACACTCTACACCCTAAAAAGAACAAGGAGATCCTGTAGGGAGAAGGGAAATGATAAGCTATTAAAAAATCCTCCTGAAGAAAGCTTCTCAGCCAATACCTTTTGCTTAACCTAGCTTGTAACCAAAATTTGAGGTTATTTATGTTCCTGTGTTCTCGCTGAATGATTTTTGAGATGGTTGAGTTTGACATTTGAGTAAGGCACTATAAGTTTTTTGAAAAAGTAGATTTGTCTATAGTTTACATATCTAAGTTAAACTTCATCAGTTCATCATTGTTTTTGTTCCATATAATTGACCTTTGCTGATTATTAGATCAAATTGCAAAAGGGGGTGGGTGTTATATAGTGTCTTTTTGTAAAATGAGAATCATAACCACAAATGTTTATGGGAAGACACATTTGAATGAGGTGTCATGGTGCTAAAACTTTTTCCTAGATGGTGGCTCAGGATATCTTGGCATTAACTATGAGTTCTGATTCTTTAATGCATTTGTTTTACAATAAGATCATGAAACCATTAACATATTAGATCTTGTTGTGTGAATGGTTGCCTTCAATGCTTTGCTGGTTACAGATATGGCCTCCTATAAGTATTAAGGATTCAGGGTCACGTCTTCATTCGAAACTGAAAGAAGCAATTATGCAGGTAAGAGCTCAGTTTCTGTTAATAATATACTACAGTTATCTTTTCGTATGTTGAAAATATATTAATGTCTGTACTATATTATCTTCCTATCATGATTTTGTTTCATATACACTGTTGAGCTGCTTTAAGTTATTTGAGCAAGATGAATTTTATGCCTAGGTTTGTTTCATTTTCGGACTGGTTTTTTGTATTTGAGTCCTCCCCCCTATGGGTTCATAAATCATATTGCCATTTTTTGTTTACAATTAGATTGATAATTTGGCAGAATCGTCCTAGACAGATATGCCTGCAAAGTTGCCATGTCTTATTAATAAATGATTTGTATGGCAGATACCAAGATAAACGTATTATCTGTTATTCTGAAACTTCTCTCCCTTGGTACCTTGGTACTTTTTTGATGCATTGCAAGTGAAAACTTTCATAAGATTTAGCTCCTTCTTGTATATATTGTTTTTGAATTCCTGAAATATGTTTTCAACTTTTTTTTGTTTATATTCCTTTGAAAAATATTTCTACAACCAATAATGTATCATGCGTAGTTTATGCCAAATAAAATGGCTTTTTTCTATTCTTGGTTTCTATCTTATTTACTTCTCTGAACCACAGCTATTTCTCCTTTCCTTCTCCCACAGTTGCACATTGAATTTGTAACCAGGTCTGCCATTTAGATACTTTTCAGAGGTCCCAGTTTCTACCTTCTTCATACAGTACAATATTTTCCCAAGTCTTGCAATGTAAAGCATTGGTTGCATGACATCTTAGGTGGTTGAAATATAGTTCTGATAGGCAGTGCTCTATCGAAGTGAATTTCAGAAAAGGGTTCCTATATAGAGTTGGAATTGTTTTCATTGTTTTTCTCTCCCTTCCTCCCTCCCTCTTCCAAAGTTTATATGGCAAGAATTGGATTTTCCACATGAAAGTTAGGTAAATGAAATCAGTCAATTATCACTCAGATATGGAATAATAGGTTGACATTCAAGCAAAAAATTCAGTGGTTTGAGAAGTATGTTAAGGTGGGTGGGGGATGATCCTTTACAAGTTGTTGGACCATAAGCGTGGGCGAGACTTGAACTTTGACTGCAGATGGAAGTATTCTTTTTAGGTTGGAAAAATTGTCTTTCATCTAATGATATTTTTGGTATCGCTAGTAGCATGAAGGACTTAACAAGGGAAAGAAGGTGGGTTACAATTACTAGCCATGCGAGCCTCATATGTTTTATGCAGCGTTGCACGGACACTTCAACTACATTGTCGTGTCGTGTCGGACATGGACACTCTTGGACACTTTACTACGGTCAATTTCTTCCTTTATCAGAAATATTTTATATTTTTAACTCAATGTTATTATTAAATAACAAATATGTATTCATACTTAAAAGATTTTAACCAAAAAAAAGTTCTATAATAACTATAAAGTTAAAATTATACTACATGAATGAAGAATTTTTAAAGAATTTTTGTGCCGAAAAATTGCGTGTTGACGTGCCCGAAACGTGTTGTGTCGTGTCGGATACATGTGTCCGTGTCGGTGCATCATATGTGTTAGGTTGCCTAATTAAATTCTTTCCTTCTTTCCCTTTCATTCTTTTTTGCTTTCTTGTTTTTTTTCTTTTTGATTTTGTTGTGCCCGAAGGGAATGTATGGCGTAGCCTCATACTCGGCTCATTAACCTTTGATATTGGATTACTCTTTCTGCAGACTGGTTTAGAGAAGAGCTTGTTTGGAAACCATCCGGTTTCATTCCCTGGGCCAGATTCCCGAAGTCCTCCACCTGCATTTGCCTCTGACCCTCTTATGCATGCTGATGCTGGTGGCATGTCATCATCTGTTGGAATAGATATGGCTTCCATCACAACCTCTGCTAAACCTTCAAGTTTGGATATTATTGAAATAAATGGACCTGACTCAGCAACATCATCCCTGCCCAATCATGAACTGAATTTATCAAAAAACTCAAGCCCTTCTGTTGTAAGTAGTTATTTGTTTCCAATCTAGAACACAAAATGTTAATTTCCACATTATATTTGGGTTTATTCTGTGCGGTTCTCCAACAGCCTGGTGCAATGACACGTAAGAGTGCACTCCAATTTGAAAGGCAAAGCTCTGAAGTTTCATATTATGCTGATGATGAAGATGGGAACCAGAAAAAATACTCACGAAGAGGTGAGTGAAGACCGTTCATTTTTTTTTCTTTTTGTGTTCTTCTTCCAGTTTTCCCTCTCAGTACCATTATTGCAAGTGAACAGAAGTATCTTCATACTGTGATGGTCAAAGTCTGTATGTTGCACACACTGCTTGCTGGCTAAAGTATAACAAGGAACTACATATTTTGCTACGACAGTTTGCTGATGTGGTTTTGAGGTGATTAGTCACTTATTTTTTGTGAAATTTCATGTTGATCACTCAACTTCATTTCATGTTGGTCAGTATGTCCTTTGACTAACTGAGAAGTCAGGTGGCAGTCTGGTAATTTGCCAATCCATTAGTCCAATTAACGGACATGGACAGTGTGTTCAACTCGAGACATATTTAAGTTATGTGACCAACATGTGACAAATGATTAAGTTCAGTTGCTAATTTGGAACAAAATAAAGTCCAGTGACAACATGAAATTTCGATAAATTCAGTGATCACCAGTGTTTTTAACACCATGAGTTGGTCATAATTTATAGCAAAAAATTTTATGAAGTCAGAGTATTTTATAATAAAGGCTAAAATTCCCATTGATGTAGAGGCTTACTTCACACACCTAAAGATGTATAAATGTGGTACATCGGCCTCATCACCTTCTCCACTTATTTTGCGAGGTTGGGTTCAGGAGGTTTCCGGCCCAAAACGCTATTTCCCAAATTTATGAGACCCCATCCTGCCAAGCCTGATGTACCGAGGTATAGAAGCATAGTTCCCACTTCCCGAGACGGCAATCATTAGGGAAGTATCACTTCTAATATCCTATTTATGGCCCCCATGTCTGAATTGTTTATTGGTTGTGAAATAAGCCTTTACTCCAAAATACTCGGTTTCTATGTCCAGCCGCTGGAGGACATCAAGTTGGGTCTCATATTCTTCATGCTAGACATTTGATGTCTCATGATTGCTGTCTTTATAATACATTTGCTACTTCATGATTGCCTTCTTCACGTCCGGGCCTTTTGTGGATCTAGTTTACTGGACTGTGAGTTGCAGGTACATTTCGCCACAAGTTACTCAGGTCATTGCTGCCTTTCTGGTCAAGTGCATTGCCGACTCTACCAGTAACTGCACCGCCACGGAAAGATGCATCAAATGCAGATGATATGCCAGAAGGGCGTCCGAGGCACCATAGATCTTCAAGGATGGATCCAAGGAAACTCCTCCTAATTATAGCTATAATGTAATCTTACCTTCTTTCCTCCCTTGGCTGATTGTTGTTTCTCTTTCATTTGGAGTTTTCACATTTAGCTCGGCGCATTTACATCTCCACTCTTTTGCAGGGCCTGCATGGCAACAATGGGTATATTGTATTACCGACTAGCTCAACGAGGACTGTCTGATGAGTTGCCTGATGATGAGAAGCAGTGATCAACCTCGAAAGGTATAGCAATGGTTTCAGAGATAGCACTGTAATGTTTGATATTAAGATATCTTGTGTGGAGAAAAATAGCGTTTTTATGCGGAACACTTGAAGTCTTGATAAAGCCATTTTTGGTTGTAGAAAATCTTCAATTCTCTTGTGACAGCAATATGTTTTGTCCTTTCTTGTCCGTTAGATTCTGCCTCTTGTTTTTCTTCTGTGTTTTTGGCTTGCTTTCGTTTGATTGTGAACTGGAATATCAATTTTTAAAGGGAATTCCCTTTCCGGCTATTCATGTTCTGTCAATTTTAATTTTTTATTAACTTTAATAAGATCAGATAGAGCAAAATTAAATTTGTCTAGCGTGTTAGAATTATAGTAGTATTAAAAAGATGTAAACACAATTAATGTCGTAGAATCTGTAAGATTTGAATTCAAAGCCTTTATTTCCTAAGATTGGTGGACTTGTGCTTTAATGTTACGGACTTGCTATATGTACTCTGGTGTACAAATAGATTTATCCTTAATATTAAATTATGTCAACTAGAGAGCATATTTTAATCAGCCTTAATCGCACACATTTCAAGTATTTTATGGAAAAATGTGTGTATAGATGATATAATTTATACGATGAATTTAACAGGAAAATAATGAGCATAATCAAACAACAAATTGAACTTATATAAATAAAAAATAAGAGAAGTTTTCATTTTGGAGAATAATGTTTTAAAGTCGTGTCAATTTATTTTTTGGTTGTACTACGTGTACATTGTACAACTTACAGATTTATTTATCAATAGATAATGTGATGAGATATGATTGGATTAAAATATCATCAACCAAATAAATAAATAAAATTATTGCTTTATTTTTACACAGGTATTAGCTGCTCAATACAATACAGCTCGTTTACAAGCCATACACAAAATTTTTATTTTTCAAAAATTTAATTAGTCGTTCTTATGTATCATAATGGTTCGTCAAATTAATGGTTGGTTGGCAAGAAAAATTAGCTGGTTAATTATTTTTATTCCATCGGTGAGCAATTAGTGTATGATTTACAAAGTTCAATTGTTTTCACTTCTTAATTAAGGTCAGGAGGAAAAAAAAAGTGCTTATTTAGTTAAGATAGTGCCAGTCATGATCCAAGTCATTAAGTTATAAATTTATAATTTGCTTATATATTAATCTTGTAAGCGTGTGTTACGCATATTCAAGGTCTACCTAGCTCGTCTATGCGCATTACCCATTGCACAAATTGAGAACATCTATAATTTTCTTAGAAAGATATAACAATAATTAATCATATATAGAATAGTTAAATACTAAATTGTGACAGCTTTGGGAAAAGAAAAATGTTAATTATTGAAATTAAATCTCGCTAAAATAAGATGTTAAACGATAAGTAAAATGAAATATGAATATCCATTTTTCGTGCCATAGAAGGTTAAAAATGTAGGAGGTGTCAATCTAATAAATCATATTTCAAAATTTTATTGTTGTAATATAGAGAATAGTCGAACATTTAATAGAATAATTGACAAAAATAAAAGGATAGCTGCATAATCCCAATACTGGTGTCTATTAGTGAAAGTAAATTAGAAATTGTAGTTGATAAGTCACTAGGTGAATTAGGTCCACCTCTCCATGCTATAACTAATATTGAATTTTTGGTTAACCTAAAAAATTATAAGTAATTTTTGTTTCACTAATTAAAAAATCACTTGCATGTTTTTAAGCTTAATTACCGAAACATGCTTTCTAAGCAATAAGATTAGTGTGCTTTACCCAGTGCGCACCCAAATGGTAGCGGCTGCAAGTTCCCGTCATAAAAAATAAAAAATAAAAAATAAAAAAAAATAAAAAAAGAAAGAAAGAAAAGAAAAGAAAAAAAGAGGATTCGCGTGCTTTACATATATTCTCGCCTAAGAAGAGGTCAAGAAAAACTTTACAATTAAGGGCCAAAAAACAATATTATTTTGAAAGAAAATTGATCTTTACCTATTGATTAATGCATGAGAATCTCAATTTTATAAACTATTCTCTTGTGAAAAATCCAAATATATATTTCCAGACTGTGCAATTGCATTCACTAAGAAACATTGAAATTTTTAAAACAAAAGCTGGCTTTTGGCCCCTTTAATTCTTGAAAAGCTACCAATATTAATTCTATACCGAGTTTCACAAGAGTCATCGATGTACTAATGATAATATTTTATATTGATCATAATAAATTTTAAATGTATTTATGTAATGCTTAATTTAATGTATTAACATATAATAACACTATTACAAGAACAAAAGCTAAGAGGAAAGGCGAACGGACGAGGCCCCGAGGGATTCATTTTAGAATCTCAAAATTTCGACATATTTTTATTTTTTTTTAATATTTGTCAAATAGGATTTTATTTAAATCGACTTTTAAAAATAAGGGAAAAATATTTTAATAACTAGATTATAAAATTCAATTCTAGTAGTAATCTTTGGTTTATTATTTATCACTATAGAAAAATAACTTCTAACAACAAAAATTGTTTATCCTAAAAAAATTTCTTGATGTCTCTGTTTCGACGAAACAACTCAAAAATGACTTTTTAAGACAATTTTTCATTGTTAAAAGTATTTATTTTGAACTTAGTGTTTAAAGTTTTTCATTCCAAAAGATGCTTTGCGAATTAAGTTTGTCGTGGATACTTTAAAATGGTACCAAGATCCAACCCCAAGATAAGAATATATCCCAAAATAAGCTGAAAAAGGTGACCCAAAAATGAAATTAAAAGAAATTTAGTTGGTTTATCAGATCTAGTTCTAGCCATCTTGTATTTGTTATTTTGAACTGGATGTAAGTAGTTTTTCAATCCGAAAAATGCACGATGATGTTTTTCATGAACATTCAACATAGTAAGAACCCAAAATAAATGATGATAAAATGAGAATTAAAAGATAAAAATCAGATTATTGAATCTTTTTAATGGTTATCTTTAACTCGTTATTTTAAACTTATTGTTCAATAGTTTTTAGTTTTTCAACCCAAAAGATGCAATGCGGTAAAGCTAGGCTCTCCCACCCAAAAATATTAAAAAAAATAAAAAATTCTCCCTCACATTCCATTTATATAGGCTGACTCTCCATATTTTCTTGTCTCAATTATATAATCTTGTTTCTTTATTGAGAATGTTTTGTTTTGTTCATTTAATATACCATTATTTAACTTGCATAATTATAATCAATTATTCTCCACTTAATTTCAAAATTCAAAATTGTACAAATATAAATAAGGGTAGATATTGATTTTTCAATAAAATTAAGAAAGATATCTTAATCTGTGTAAAAAACAAAATCAGCCTATATAAATGGGATGAATGGAGTATCTGACTTTGTTGTTTAAAGGTTTAAATAACAAAAATAAAAATAAAATGAGGAAATGGGTTGTAATTAAATAATTCACACTCTCCATAACAGAATACTGAGTCCATTCATTCCATACGAAGGTTTAATTGAAGGTCGTAATTAATTTATCTAAACACAATTATTAGCTTTAAATGATATATATGTACATTAAATAATAAATTCAATGTCACACTATTCATTTAATTAAATCTATCAAATGTGACCACTTAAACTAGTGCTCTAATATTACTAACCTCTATACATCTCTTCGGAGGATGGATGAGGCGATTCTCGCAAGAGAAGTCCCCCTTTTTAATCAATTTCTTTAGTCTTTAGGGAGTCAAAGTTTGACTTTACTAAGCTAATACTATAGGCTCCCACTAGGCGCTTTCCCTTTTTATTTGAGCTGTCTTTTGTGGGGTGGCACCGATACAAAGAAAGGACGGGGAGTGCATGGTACTTCTCAACACTATCTCCGAGTCATAGCTTAACAAGCAACTCAAGAATATTATTGGATTGAACAAGCCAGTTACTCAAACTTTGTTCGGCCATTTTTGCATTACTAATTAAAAATTGCTTTAAATTTTTGAAAAGGAAAGTAGAACATAAAGAAAACTATGTTTTACTATGTTAAAAATCGTTCAACTTGGCCTCTATCATTTTTGAAAGGATTCCCATTTGCACGTAAAATACTAATATTTTTAGTATAAACTCAATCGGCAGATAGAGTTAATAATGCAAGCCAAAATAGTGAAAAGAAATTGATAGTTGATTGGAATTGAGCTACATCCCAAACGTGCAGGCCTGCCACTAGTATTCGTCACGCCCAACCGACAAAAATCTTGATTTTTAGAGAGGTTTTTATTATTATTATTATTATTTTTTTCACCAAAATCTATTATTTCATTCCTATTTATTAAAAATAAAATAAACTGCAAAGTTTCTAAATGATCAATTTTGCATGTTTTATATATCTCCGCGTTCAGTTTACCAATGAAGATCGTTCATTGGCCGGCTCAAAATTTCAAGATTCCGTAAAACATTTGTAGAATAATTTAAGAAATTGGATAATTTGAGGAGTCTTGATTCGACGCGTGTTCAAAGAGGAAACATCGCCGGAATCTTGGGGGCCAATCACTCAATCCTAGACAGTGTTCAAGTATTTGTCAATTCATTTTTCTCACAGTTTGTATTCTTGTGGTAAATATCAAATCAAAATCCAGTTCTTTACATCCTGTTTAGTTCTATAACCCCCACCCCACCCAACCATGCAAAGTTTTATTTCTCTCTTTTGGTGTTGGTAGTGCCGCAAAGTTTGATACAGCTGATGATTACCATGTCCACTTTCATGTTGTTTAGGCTTTGGGAAACATTATACATTACTTATAATTTTCAATCAAAGTAAAACATTAAATTTTAACCACACATTCACGACTACTATCCATTTATTACTTACATATTTCATGGGACACATAGCTCCTCTTATTATAATCTCCTTATACTCAAATACATTCCTCTGATAAATGGAAAAGATATTTAGGGTATGTAGTTTTTTAGATCAATCATGCTATATTTACATCCTTTTCATTAGTAAAACTAACAGTGGGTCGAGTTTTGTGACCTCTTCCTGAGCGAGATGGAGCTTTGTTAAGTTGCATTGTCACATAGAAATATTCAAATATTAGTCACCTAATAGGTTTTTCTATCTTCTTGAGCATGATCCTATATTTTATAAGGATTGAAGGA